GAGGAGGGAGGGGTAGGGAGAGGAGGAAAAGGATACTATGAGGAGGGAGGGGTAGGGAGAGGAGGGAAGGATGCTATGAGGAGGATGGCAGAGGTAAGGAGAGGAGGGAAGGATACTATGAGGAGGAGGGCAGGGGTAGGGAGAGGAGGGAAGGATACTATGAGGAGGAGGGCAGGGGTAGGGAGAGGAGGGAAGGATACTATGAGGAGAAGGGAAGGGCAGGGGAGGGATATGGTCAGTTATGTTAGATACGCGCCTTTTGAAACCTAGTACTTTTTCAACCAATTTTTAGGAAAAGAAACCAGAAGTCTAGGTTTGCCTGGGTTCAAGCAAAATGAGTCAATATTTTAGGAACAGCTGGTCTTTTTATTCATTTGTGGAAACCATAGGAACATTGAAGGAAACTTCTGCAATATTTGCCTTGACTTTGTAACATCGGGTTGATGATGGCAGCTTCAAACAGCATCTCCAAGATGTCACCTCACAACCTAGTATTGAAAAAACAAAATGCTGGTTAAGACAAAGTGTAGCGTTTGTCTGTGAGTATAAACGTAAGTATTTAGAAAGCATTTAGCTACACAACAACAGTAAGTTCCTCCCTAGGTCATAAGAACTTCCGCCTTAGTCATGGATATTTTTAACTAGCTTAACAGTACCAGGTATAAATTCTTTCCTGTGCAGTGGGCCTCATAATCAATCAGTGACTGTTAGCTCTCCCATAACAGTCATGCACTTCTTTCATGGTAGGGTGTCATTTAAGTTCATTGGGTTCATAGATCATTAAGACTGTAGATGCCCTTTCTTCCCAACTGTAGGTATAGCATCTTCTGGAACTACAGAAGCTAGCTAGCAGGAAGGATGCTTCCAGTTCCAGCTTCTCTACATCCTGTAAGGAAAATGTGAGGTCCTTGGATTTTACCATTGAGCCACAAGCTGCAGGAATAGAGAGCAGTTCTCAGCAGCAAACCTGAGGTGACCAAGAAAAACAGCCCACAGACCAAAGGTTGCTAAGTAGCAGCTTCTCCCTTCTGTGGCTCATGTGTCTTTCAGCAATATCTACCTACATCGATTAATTATAAGGGGATTCACTCATTACAGATGCATTTGGTGATCAATTAGTCAGCCACTAAGGTGAAATTATGAAATGTTCAGTGGCCTGAATAAATCTGTATATTATATTAAGTGAAATAAGACAGGCACCGAGAGATGAGAAACCATGTTTCACTACTAGTATGTGGAAGCACTTCATTACTTCGTTTCTTTCACAGACTTAAGGAACCGAGTAACAGACAGCAGCACTTGGAAGGGTAGAGCAGGTCAAAGGTGCTTAATGACAATAGAAAAGCAGTCGGGCAGAAAATCATTTTTTTGATTATACAGAAGGGTAGCTATGGTTGAAAATAATTCATTGAGGAAACAGTCAACAAGATTTAAAATGATCTGGGCACAAGGAAACAAAGTAAGACATGTGCCAACTACTCTGTCTTGACCATGGCAATACTGTGTAGATATCCTAAAATGTCACATTGTGCTCTGTAAATGTATACAATTGTTATGCATCAAATACACACACAAACAGCAATACAATTATTATGCATCAAATACACACACACATGGTGTAGGAGGCTTTTCTGTTCATGTGTTGCTTTCATTGGTTAATGAATAAAAAAACACAATAATATAGATAATCCAGACTCTGTGTTTTAATTAATACAGTTTCTGTGTGGTTATTTTAAGTGTTTGCACTTGGTACATTGCTCTGGTCTCAGTTTACACATCACACGTAGAAAATGTAAGACTGGCCTTTGACCTCAAATAACTAGAAACTTTGCAAGTTGAGATCTGAGAAATCCTTAGGGAATTAGAGTGAAAAGTCTCAGCAGAGGACATATGCACTACCTGTCACCCCAGACAGGAAACAATGTTCCACCAATAATTCTTGTTCTCAAAAGTGACCAATTAGACGTCTCTAGGGAGCCCAGCTGTGCATAACATTTCTTTCTTATTCCTTCCACTCATAACAAGCTCTGAGAGCACCCTGTTCCCTGGCTGGGGACATCATACTAGTGACCAAATCCTTGTGGGGAAATCATCAAAGACATATTGGACCTGCGTTTTTGGAGATTTTTGTTCTTGGTGTAACCGAGCACAAATGATTCTGCGCTTAGTGATGTGGGATTACAAAGGGGAAAACTATGCAACAGAACGGTCAGTTGCACACCCGAGAGGCAAGCAGTGTGCCAGAATATTCTTTAGGCTGCTCCTCAGGTCCTGAAGCATGAAGGAGAGCGAGGTAAGCAGTACATTCAGGTCTCGGCCATGACAGTGTGGGACAGACACCAATTACACCCTGCTTCCAGGAACTCGGCACTCAGATGAGATGGAGGAGGGGATGCTAAAATTGGGACCACTGCTATGAGTGAAGGTTAATGCTTCGAAAGACTACCACCACCATCTTCTTATGTGCTCAGGTGGAGCCCAGAAGAACGAGGTTAAGACCTTGATTTACCCTGCAACAGTGATATCCCTGGTGGCTGGTTATCTCAGTGTCCTTCTGTTAGATGGTTGTGCTGGAATAGATCTAGTGTAAAGATCATACTGTCCTTAGGTACTCCATACGCCATTACTATCACCTGAAGGATGAGAAAGTGGGGTGGATAGAGTGTATCTATCACATACATTGGAGAGACTGTCTGTCGGACATTTTTATGAGGAAATCATCAAAAGCACATTAGACCTTGTTTTTGGAGATTCTCATTCTTGGTACAAGTGAACACAAACAATTTTACACTCAGTTATGTGGGTTCACAAAAGAGAAAGGTATGAAGCAGGAAGGTCAGATATAAAGGTTTCCAATAAAGAATATTGCAAGAAGAAAGTGACTTCTGCAAATTGTCCTCTTCCCTCCACATATGTGACCCCCACATGCACAGTTATATTAACAATAAATAAATGCAAATTTAATACATTAAAAATACTTCATCATGTATTGAGAAACAGCAGGAATTTTGAAAACCAACAGGAATTCAGTCTTTACTATCTCTGTTATATGATCTAACCTCTGAAACTCTAACACTTTAACACTTTTTATCTCTCCTCCTGGTGAAGCAGGGTAGCAAGAATCTAATACTCATGATGCTGTGGGGACGGAGAGGAATTCTGTCTCCAGGTGGCCAAGATAGCAGCATAAGTGGTGGTGGTGATGGTTATAAAGGTGACAGTCATGATGGCTGAACCAAAGAACAATATGCCAGTAATTATGATAGTGTAGTTACACTTAGGTTTTTGACATAAACACACAGGTTTAGGTCAAAAGCAAAGAGAACAACATGTTTCATCATATTTAATCGTCACCACCACACTTTGAACAGGCTGCTGAATGACCTGGTCGTGTGCACTGTGGGAACATCTCTGCTCTCTGTGATCTCTTCATCACGAGTGAAGACAGTGGAAATGGGGAACGGGACAACTGTCCAGGAGTTTACCCTGGAGGGATTTCCTGCTGTCCAGCGTCTGGGGAGGCTGCTCTTCTCAGTGCACCTGCTGGCGTACCTGGCCTCCATCACAGGCAACGTGGTCATCGTCTCCGTCGTCTGCACCAGTGCCCATCTGAGAACCCCCATGTACTTTTTCCTCGGCATTTTCTCCTTCTTTGAGTGTTGCTTTACCAGTGCTGTTATTCCTAAATTGTTGGCTATATTTCTTTTAGGGAAGCAAACGATTTCCTTTGTTGCCTGTTTTATACAAGCCTTCGTCTTTGTATTCATTGGGGCCTTTGGCTTTCTTCTCATAGCCGTGATGTCAGTGGACAGGTGTGTGGCTATCTGTAAGCCTCTGCATTATCCCACCATCATGAACCCGAGGACCTGCACCCTCCTCATCACCGCCTGCCTTGCTGTGACCTTCGCCTTTATCACTTGGATAGTAGTGAAGGTGTCCCGGTTATCCTTCTGTGGCCCCCATGTCATCCCACACTTCTTCTGTGACCTTGGCCCCCTGATCCACCTCTCCTGCTCAGACACCAGATCTGCGGAAACTCTGACCTTTGGCCTTGCTTTGCTTATCCTTCTCTCGTCCCTCATCGTCACCATCATTGCGTACAGCAGCATAGTAGTCACAATTGTGCGTCTCCCTTCAGCCCGAGAGCGACAGAAAGCTTTCTCCACCTGCTCATCCCACCTCATCGTCCTCTCTCTCATGTACGGCAGCTGCGTATTTATATATGTGAAACCGAAGCAAACAAGCAGGCTGGAATCCAACAGAGAGGCTGCTCTTGTGAACACAGTAGTGACCCCGCTTCTGAACCCTGTCATCTACACCCTGCGCAACAAGCAGGTCCACCGGGCTCTGAGGGAGACTGTGTGCAGAATAAAAATGTCAAGGTAAGAAAACATCATGTGTTCTTGGGGTGGAAATCATCAAAAACTATTTTTCTCTAACTTAACAAGTGCGCAAGCCTTAGCAGTTCAGAATGACAAAATTCACATGCCTTCCGTGTAAATATCTCCATAAAATACAGGTGTTTGCTGACTCGTGGAGACATTTCAATGTAGTGTGTGTGCCTAATCCACTCTATTCCATGTATTCCTGGCAATAGATTTTTGTTTGTTTTTCAAGACAGGGTTCCCCTATGTAACCCTAGCTGTCCTGAAACTCGCTCCGTAGACCAACCTGGCCTTAAACTCATAGAAATCCACCTGCCTCTGCCTCCTGAGTGCTGGAATTGAAGGCGTGCGCCTTCACAACCCAGCATGGCAATAGACTTTGATTACAAAAATCTATTGAACTTTTTCATTCAAGTGATGGAAACTGTGTGCTTGAAATTCCTGAAATATATTGAACTACACCATTAAAATTGTGCTGTCTTCCACAAATTAGTACTTTTTAGCAGAAACAATAATTATTTACCAATGACGGTGAAATAACTATAACAATTAGTGATTTTAGTTGAATTGAAGCTTTGAAAATATTAGTGGGGGTAACCAATGCTTAGCCCACGTTTCCTCCATGACTACTGAAGAAAACACGATCCTCTGTCTTGTAAAATATATGTCACAGGGTACATCATCTCCATTTCTCTTCTTGTAACTGGGCTCAACTGCACACGAATGCCTCAATGCAATGCTAAAGTGAAATACATTGTTTGGGATCTCAGTTCATTCTCTAAAATGTCAAAATGGCTACTACCTCCCATTCTGCTATTTTATTTTTTTATTATTTATTTATTTATTTGTTATTGACTTCTATTATGACCCTGTTACTAAGAAAAATGTATATAAGTTGGCTGGAAAGGGGTCATACTTAATACTCATCCGTAGGAGTTTCTTCAGATTCAGGGGTGTATAATATGAGCTCTTTACCTGCTTTGAGTTATTAATGAAAATAATTTAAACCAATTAGAGATTGCGCTTCCTGGTAGAATTGTGTTTTCGATTACAATTGCCTTCTAGTTGATAATCTATTTTAAAGCCTGTTGCTCAGTTTTTAACTTTTCATGCATTTAGCTTCAATTTTCAGGATATAATAGGTCTGTCTTTTCAGAGAAGAAATACATCTGAAAAGACTCTGATTGATTATTGTTTGTTTTGAAATCAGATCTCACTGTGAGATCGGGTTGGACTTTCACTCATGTCCTCCTGCTTTGGTCACCTGAGTTCAGTGATAACAGAAAGGGGACACCTGGCCTAGATATTTTCTTTCAGCTGAACTAAATCATTATACAACCACAAATAAAATTTTATGAATTTCCTTTGGGTTCATGATTTGCCTTGAAAGTCATAATTCAAAGTTCATATTTTACCCCAAACTCACAGACACAGCCCAAACTCACAAACTCCAGACACACGATTTCTGCACTGGCTTTGCCTTGTGAATCTCCTCAAAATGAAGCCTGCCCACACCATTTTCATGCTCCCAGACCTGTCTCTGAACATACAAACCCTGTACTGCTTTGCCTGGTTCGTCCGCTCAGAACCAAGCCTGCCCCTGCCATTTCCACAGTCTTAGGCCTGACTCTGGCTCCAAAATCTCAGCTCACATACTAGTGCTACCAGGTGACCTCCCTTGACCTTAGACTACCCATGCCCCATCTCCACACTGGCAGACCTAGACCAAATTTAGCAGTTCCTATAGTAGTTGTACACTCCAGTCATGCGGCTTCTGTTGAGGTAAGTAAGCTAGATGTTTACCCCAGACACATGTCCAATGAAAGTTCACATGCCTAGGCTACATCACAAACACACACACACACAAAACATAATAGAACAAGACAGTGTGTCCCACCTCAAACCTAGCTCTATAGGAATGTTCTCTAATGAGAATGACCTAGATAAAATCCAGGACACAGAGTTTCAAAGAACAATCATAAACCTAAGAATTCAAAGGTTTGATAGAAGACACACAAAAAGCAGTGCATTAGAGAGAATTAATAATAAATGTCTGAGTGATACTCAAGAAACCTTGAATATACCACTGAAGGAGATGATAAAGACAATGCAGGATTTAAAAGTTGAACTCAATAAAGAGATAGAAATATTGAAGGGGGTTCAAACTGAAATTAAGATGGAATTGAAAAACTTAGCAAACCAATTCAATTTAAAATCCTTGGGGGAAAGCCCTAGAGATGGACTGGATACGCAGGTGATAAAATATCATGACTGAGAAGTAAAGCGGAGGAATTGGACAACTCAAGCAAAGAACATGACAATTTTTTAAAAAGAAAAACATATGAGAGGAACACACAAGAACTGTGTGATACCCCAAAAAGACCAAGGCTTTGAATTATAGGCATGGAAGAAAGAGAAGAATCCCAGGTCACACCACAGACCAGGTTGTCAACAATATCATAGAGGAAAACTTTCCCAAATAAAGGAAAAACACATCCATAAAATACAAGAAGCACACAGAATATCAAATAGACACAATTGAAAAAAACTCCTCATTGCATATTATAACTGAAACACTAAATATACAAAACCAAGAGGGAATAATTAAAAATGCTACAGAAAAAAACACTAGCCACATAAAAAGGAAATCTATCAGAATAAAAGATGATTTCTCTGTTATCATTTTAAAATCCAGAAGAGCCTTGAACGTATTCTAAGTTCTAAGAAACCATAGATGCCAACCTAGACTATTATATCCAGCAAAACTATCTACCATAGTTGAAGGAGAAAGAAGACCTTTCCATGTTACAAACAGCTCAAAAGAATGCATGTACATCAAACTAGCCCTACAGATAATATTAGAAGCAACACTTCTAATATAAGCAACCGAAGAAAGGGAAAAGTATAGCCAAGACACTACACAAAGCAAGGAAATGAAGCCACAATTTCTACAGAGAGGAAGAGGGTTCAAACAATAATGCAATCATCACACATCCTTCAATAACTTTGAATGTTAATAAACTTAATTAACCCATCAAAAGGCATACATTAGCTCAACAACAGAAACAAAACCCTTCTTTCTGTTTGTCTACAAGAAACTACTCTTAGTTTTAGCGATAGGCTCCACTTTAAATTGACAGCAAAAATATGTGATCTTGAAACCAGTATTTGTAGATATTCTAGCATCTGATAAAATAAACTTCAAATTAAACTAGTCAGAAGAAATAAAGGACACTTTATTTTAATCAAGGAAACAATTGATCAAGAAGATATTGCAATCCTAAACACATATGCATCAGACTCTGGTTTGATCAAGCACCCAATGTCATTAAAAGCATACGATGAGACTTAAATATACAGGCAAAATCCAACTTAGTTACAATAAGTGTCTTAGCTTGAACTTTTATTGTTGTGAAAAGACACCATGACCACAGCACTCTTATAAACAAAACATTTAATTGGGGTAGCTCGCTTACAGTTTCAGAGGTTCATTCCATTATCTTTATGACAGGGAGGATGGCAGTGTGTAGGCAGATGGTGATGATACATCTTGACCAGAAGGCAGCAGGAAGTCGACTGACCCACCAGGTGGCATTCTGAGCACAGAGAAAACCTCAAAGTCTGTCCCCACAGTGACACACTAACTCCAACAAGGCCACACCTCCTAATAGTGCTACTCCCTATGAGATTATGGGGGCCTTCACATTCAAACTAACACAACAGGTGATTTCAATACTCCACTTTCTTCAATACTTAGGTTATCTGGGAAAAAGAAACATCAGGAATAAATGACATCATGTATCAAAAGAAACTACAGAATATGAAAATATATTCTACTCAGCAACTTATGGAAGACTCTCTAAAACAGATCATATCCTGGGAAAAGAACAAAATCTTATCAAATTCAGAAAAAAAATAATCCCATATATCCTTTCTTTTCATGATGCAAAGCTTAAAATCAACAACAGATGAAACTCTAGAAACTACACAGTTTGTAAAGATTAAATAATACATTTCTGAATGATGAGTAGATCAAATAAGAATTCAACAAAGGAATCCAAATTTCTTGGAATTAAATGAAATTGGCAAAACATCTGGGACACATTAAAAGAAATTCTACATGACGCATTTTTGGCTCTAGGAGCCTATATTTAAATATCAAAAGCACAAATAAGTGACTTAATGATACAACTCAAGAACTTGGAGAAATAAGAACAAATCCATCCCTAATCCAGCAGACAGGAAGAAAGAACAAAAATCAGAACAGAAATTAAATAAATAGAATCAAAGAAAACAGTATTAAGTTGAACCTAAGAGCAGGTTGTTTGAAAGGATAAGCAAGGGCCTGGAAAGATGGCTTGGCAGTTAAGAGATTGTTGCTTTTACAGAGGACCCAGGTTTAATTAGCATCACCCACATGGTGGCTCATAACCATACAAACATACAAACCATACATAACCATACAAAATTCCAATTCTAGGAGATCTAATAACTTCTTTTGACCTCTGCATGCACCAGGCACACACATGGTACACAGACATACATGTGAGCAAGACACTCATACAGATAAAATATATAAATCTTTTTTAAAAAGACAATTGACAGACTTGTGGTCCAGTTAACCAGAAGAAAGAAAGAAATGACTCAAGTCCAAATCAGCAGAATCAGAAATGAATAAGAAAAACATTACAACAGAAACCAAAGAAAGGGAATAATTTTAAAACCTATATTCCCCCAAATTAGAAAACCTAAAAAAATGAATGGATTTCTAAATTCATTCAATTCACCAACTAAAACCAAGAGGATCCATAACAAATAAATAATATTTGTTTGTTTGCATAATAAAATAGCAAATAGCGAAACCAAAACAATGATTAAAAAACTGTCTGAAGAGCAAGTGGCACTGATCCTGTAGCAGAAGATACAATGGAGGGGTAAGAGTGCTCCTGACCCGCCACACAAGCCCAGTAAGAGAATACACAATTTTCCTGCCATCTTTATCTCCCTAGGTATTCTGAAGGGGTGGCTTCCCCCAGCTAAACCCTCTCTCCTCCTATCCC